AATTAGTCAATACTTAAAAGGGTCTAATTAATATAATATTAAGTTTGTGGCTAAAAATATAAATGTCATGAAATGTCAAGTTATTGTGTAGATACTGTAAGTCAATATCTAATTTGATGAGAGGTCAAATTAGAATATTGAAAATTAAGAAATAATCCTAAGGTTATTTAAATGAGTTATGGTCTCATTTGTAGAGAACAACAAAATAAGGTTTATCGGGTTTTCTCTTCATCCCCGAGGAGATTTAAGAAATTATAAGAAACTCTACAAATTGGAATATCACATGCCCACAATCTTCAACCATTTCAATGGCAAATTCAAGTACGCTTCTGTCTTCATTCTCTAATTAAATTTCGGTATAAGTTTAAGGGTTTTGAATAGATCTAACATTCCATTGTTAGTTGAATTATTTGGTCTGTTTAAATGAAGTATGGTAAAAATTTATTTTGTGTTTGATGTTGGTCGAGGTGGAAAGCGGATAATCATCTCAGAGATATGTTTTGGATTTGGTTGACTTTCCTGCTCTCTGTCAATATGTGGTTTGGGTGATGTGGTGTTGATCTTTTAGATATAGTTACACATAATCAGAAAATTACTGAGTTGTTTATGTTTTCTATATATTATATCTCTAAGTCGCTTATATGTTTTAAGTGATTTTTTAAGACGGGTGTTATTAGTTTGACAGATTTTGTTTGCATAAGTTTGTAATCTACAGGCAATTTGTTTTTTGGCATAGCTTATGCCATGTTTGGTTTTAATTTTTTTTTATTAGCAATTGGTTTGTTGTTTGTTTCAATATATCAGGACACCAATTAATTTATGTGATTTAAAATTTATTTTTATCCAAAAATCATCTAAATTTTTACATTTATATGAAATTACTACTTAATATACATTTACATATAATCTGTTCAACCGTGATTCACCACGCTTGAGCCATTAAACTATGAACCAGAAGCTCCACATTCTATATGACCGTCCACATTCTATATGACCGTCCAATTTTTAAATCATAGTTTCAAATCTCAAAGAGTATCCTCAGTGGTCAACTTCATAACTACTACAACAGTATAGGTATAGTTGGCTATTATAACATCTCCCTCATTCAACTTTCTAATTATTTAAGTGTGTACATTTTTCTCTATTATTCTGCAAAACCATTGTGTTCATTCGCCACCTAACATACATAGTATGTGATTGTGATAGTGTTGAGTGCAACTAAGTTTTTAAGATTTTAATAAATTATTTATAAAAAAAAGAATGATTTAAAAAATATTTATTACATATTTAAATACATTTAAAGATAATATTTTGTATAACTAATGCAAAGACATAAATATATATAAAAAATATGAGTTGTTATTGATGTTACTAATTAAAAGTTATATAATTCAAACAATAATGACATGATTAAATACGATAAAAGTTAAAAAAAATATTTTAAATTTAAATTTATGATTTAATAAAAATGAAAATAATAAAGTATAAAAATAATTTTAGTATTTAGTTTTTTTTTTACAAAATTTCAAAAAATTTCAAATATAATAAAGTTTTAATAATTTTTTTTTTAATTGTAGAAATTATATGAAATGGAAAAAGTAAAATTATTGATTTAAATATCAAAAAATACTTATGAAACATTTTTTTTAAAAGATGAGAACAAATATGCGTACCGAATATTCGTACAAACGCATTTGTATCTAGATTATAATATGTGCGAATGAACGGATTATTGTATTTTTTTGTAAAATTAAAAAAATATATATAAGTAAATATATTTAAAATAATATATGAATTCAAGCAGGAAAATATGTTTTTTTTTTAATTATTTTTATTACAAATATTTTTATTTTAAAATTATTTTTAATTTAAGATACAATATTTGTTAAGAAAATAAATAGAATGTGAGTTATATATTATTGATGTAATAATTTGGCTAATATATGAACAATTTGGTTTTTCTTTCTATTCATTCTTATTACATTTTGAAAACAAACGTGCATAACTCACTAATATCCGTATGAATGTACGGGTATCCAGACTAAAAACCGTGCAAAGCATGAATTATTGCAATTTTTGTAAAATTAAGAAAAAAAAAATATATTTAAAATAATGTATAAATTCAAACAGGAGCAAAATGTATTTATTTATGTTACTAATATTTATTTATACAATTAAAACAATATTTACAAATATTATTTTATTAGTTCATATTTATAAAACTAAATGATTACATAAATATTTTTATAAAAAATGTTAAAAGAAAATTAATATTTACATACAGAAAAATATACAGTTGATTGAAATATATGTATATTAAAATACTATATTTATTCTCCAAACATACATAAAAATATATTTATTTTAAAAATAATAAGTTTTCTTGGTTAAAAAATGTTGTCTTTCTGTTGTTTCATTTTTATTATATTTTAGAAAATAAACGCACGTGACACATCAGCACCCAAACGAACACACGGATATGCATACAGAATTTATGCGAATCAATAGGTTGTTACATTTTTTTACAATTAAAGAAAATAAAAATAAATATATTTAAAATAATGTATGAATTCAAACACGAGAAAGTGTTGTGTTTAATTATTTATGTTATTGTTGTAATCATTTCAATAATATTTATTGATGTCAAATGTTATTTTTAAATTAATGAGTAAATTTTAATTATTATTTTTTTGTAAATAGGAATAAATATTTTTTATTATAAATAATGTCAAAATAAAAATAATATTACATACAAGAAACTATATCTTTTATTCAAATATTTTTATATGTAAAAAATTATATTTATTATTTATATATAAATCAAAATATATAATTTTTTTTAAAATAATAAATTTATTTAGTAAAAAAATTTTTTTTTTATATTTTAAAAATAAATACGTGTAATAAATCAATGCAAACGTGCATTACATGGTTTATTTTTGTCTGTTTGCGAACATTTACACTTTAGGATTCTTTTTCAAAATTCTTATTCTATATATATCTTTGATATCTATATAATTGTCACTTCCTATTTGAAATATTCCTGTCAACAATCTCATTTCCTTTACGGGCAAAACTGCCGGAAAATGACAGCATTGTGTACAAAAGAGACACTCTATTGTAACCATTTTTATTTTGCGTATAATTAAATAATTTACCTACTACCCATTGACCACATCTTACGCATTAGCTTGGGTGGCGTCTACAATTTCTGATTCATCAGAGCTTTTGTAGTTCTCTACATTGGGAGTTGGCGAAGCATGTTGAGGATTTTGTAGCTTAAGTCTTTTGTCAAACTTATGTCTATCATTACTCTCACAAAATGGCCAAATGGCTTGTCAAAGGCATGTTTGTTAGATGTAGAATCAATGCATATTGGAATGCCTATGCTACTAGAAATATCAATATGATATTAGGTCTCTAATATTATTGAGAGATTCCATGGATTTTGAACCAAACTTGTGCGTAAGTGTGATGAACATTAAATGGTATAAAGTCTCTCGTCCGTGGAAACAACTTAAGGACACCATATGAAGCACGAACACTTTTAGAAATAGGTGTGTCGCGGTGTCCGACACGCGTCAATATCCGACACTTGTATAATACCTGTACGATATATATAGAAAAAATCAAAGAAGTGTCGAAAAAGTCAAACAAATGTCCACTAAAAATGATTTTTTTTTTGTTTCGACACTCTTCGAATCAATAGTTGACACTCATACAACACTCATAACACTATATTTGACAATTCAAGAAAGTGTTTTAAACACAAAAATTTTTTTTTTTTTGCTTCAACACACTTTTATACATATTTTGAACAAATCTCACACAAATTTAAAATTGTTATCCGTGTATTTTTCAAGACATTAATTTTGATTAAAATATTTTTAACTTATTTAATTATGGATGAGTAAATAAAGTTTAAATACTCCCTTCTATATTGTAATGTCAGTGTCCTATATTTTAACATTATTGGTGTTAGAGTATCTGTATCTTATCGTGCCTCGGTATCTGTGTCAGAGTCCGTGCTTCATCGATGACACCATGGTTAAGATTTCATGAGTTCAATGATCTTACCCTACACACATCTTATAGGCTAGAGAAGGAAAACTAAAAAAAAACATTTTACTAGGGATGTGATTTTTCAATTGATTTTCAAAGGGGAGGAGTCGATGCAAGTCAATTGCTAGGTCATTAGTGATACTTCGTTTATGTTTTTTCGTCAGAGCTTCAATGGTCCTTTTTCTTTTACTATCATTATTTAAAATTCACACAAACTAAACTCGCATCTAAATAATATTCAAACTGAAAATATTTGATATTTTGTAACACCATTTTTAAAAAATAAAAATCTATTTAATTATAAACACACTATTTTTAAAAAATAAAAATCTATTTAATTATAAAAACACCATTTTACAAATAAATATATATTTAATTATAAAGATACCGTCTTGTAAATAAAAAGCTAATTAATTATAAAAAGGTTGTTTTGCAAATAAAAATTAATTTAATTATGAATACACATTTCACTATCATTATTTGAAATTCACACAAATTAAAATCACATTTAAATAATATTCAAACTAAAAATATTTAAATTTTTGTAAAACCATTTTCTTAAAAATAAGATTCACTAAATTATAGGCACACCATTTTGCCAATAAAAATCTATTTAATTATAAACCTATTATTTTGCAAATAAAATCCTATTTAATTATAAACATATCCTTTTGTAATTAAAAATTCATTTAATCACTAGCACACCATTTTTTCTTTAAATGCTAGTAATATTTACTTCTAATTTTCTATTTGAAAGTGGCTCTTCTGTATACCAGATTTACACTGCCTAGTGACATTGTTTTTCATTTTTTTCCTTCACTTTTTGAAAATAATAAAAGTATATTACTCAAAAAATGTCGATAGGTACGAGCGATCCCATTGAATTCAGCTACAAAACAAGACAACCTATGACCAAAAGGGAAAAAGCAACTATCTATCTATTTATCCCCCTCCAACATTAAGATAACTATATACTTCCTTAGTTTTTTAGTGTTCCATCCTCTATACACCAAAGTTTCTATTACTTTTCTTCCTATAATAGTGATCTCCGGCTTTTCTCCAAATATACTATTATTCCTAGCCTGCCATATCTCATAGATGGTCTCAGAAATCGCCATTTTTATGACCGCAACTCGGACTCCTTTACCTTTGGTATGTTGAATAAGCCATTTCATTTCGCTATGCCAATTTCCAGGGGTATGGTTAATTTGTGCCCATCTTAGGATCTCTATCCATACGCTCTTTAAACGTTCACATTCAAAAAATAGATGGTTTAAAGATTCATTTTTCTCGCAGAAGCAACACTCGGTATCTTCAATCATACCGTACTTATGCAACCTATCTTTCGTTGCTAATCTCCCATGGCAAGCAAGCCATAGCATGAAATTAGCTTTCGGTCTCGCGTTATTACCATACACCATATTCTTCCACTCCACCGACTGTCCACAATCATGTAATTTTGCATACAGTTTACTCAATCTAAATTTCACCTCATCTTGAATTCTTCCTGATTACTCATGCTTTTAAATTTGTCCCTAAGATTGAGTATACCTTTCATTATCCAGGAATCACTCTGTTTATACTAGACCTTCATCAGATCTTTGTTTTTGAGATAGTACGTTTGTACTCATTTAACCCAAAGTGAATCTTCCTTCCCACTTAAATTCCAGAGCAGCTTCATAATAGTTGTTTTATTCCAAACATCAATGTCAACGACGTTTAAACCGCCATGGCTACGAGGACTACAAATCTCTTTCCAAGCTACTGGTGTCTTACGGCTTCCTTCAAAACCTCCAGTCCAAAGGAAAATGCGACAAATCAATTCTATTTCTGTAGTACATGTTTGGAGAAAGGGAAACAAGTGAGCTAATAGTTAGTCATCGCAAACATAATACAATTAATGAGTTGAAGCCTCCCCGCGTATGTCAATAACCGCGCAGTCCAATATTTTATCTTGCCCACAATCTTGTCTATTAACGGTGCATAATGACGAACAAAGAGTGTTTTACATGTTACTGGGGACAAGGAATCTATAATTTTTTTTAGAAATTTTTAAAAATTATTTATTTCTATTTTATATCAAACACATTTAAATATTTCACTTTTTTAAATAACATTAAAAAAACTTTAAATATTTAAATTTGTTTTAATATTATTTTAAGAAATAGTGTTAAAAAAATGTCAATGATTTAACTTTGATTATTATTTAAATGATAAATTTGAAATATTTAAATTCGTTCAAGTATTATTTTTTTAAAAAATGGAATTATAAAAAATTAAATAATTTTAGTTTAAATATTATATAACAATTATGTAATAAATATTATGTAATAAATTTCAAATAAAAAAGTTTAATTAATCTAATTGTTAATTATTGTCATTTTATTAAAAAAAGAAAAGAGCTTTGGCAATTCATGAAAACACACGTAAATTGTTGACCTAGCAATCCTTCTCTAGTGCACTCATTCTTCATCACTTCCATGATAGGTCCTGCAACACTCTCTCTTCCAAGAAACCAGACGACATTAGGCAAGTTCTCTTAAGTTAAACTCTGCCCTTCAAATTTTGGTTCGAGTTTGACATAATTTTTTTTAATTTAAATTCGACTTATTATAAATTAACGAGCAATTTAGTTCAATTCATTAGTTCAGATTGTTTGCTCCACGAATTTAAAATATATATATATATATATATATATATATATATATATATATATATATATATATATATATATATATATATATATATATATATATATATATATATATATATATATATATATATATATATATATATATATATATATATATAAAATAAAAATTATCAGAGAATTTAATTTTATCTCAAAAATCTATTAATTCAAAAACTACACAACTTTTAAAAAATATATTTAAAAGTCTAATTCAAAAACTACTCAAATTGATGTTTTACTTATTCTTAAAAAATCCACAATTTCACGCTTTTTTAAAAAAAAATTAGAAGATATATTTGATTTTTTTTAAATTAAAAAAGATTTTAAAAAAATTTAAATTAAAAAATATATGTCGATTTGTAATTTATTTTCTTAAAAAACATAACGCATATGTTGTTGATTTTTTTTATTAATTATTCTTAGAAATATTTTGCTTAGTTGAGAATATAAATTATCAATTAAAATTGTTAGATTAAAAAAAAATATAAGGTTAAATTTTAGAATAAATATTTATACATCTTATTAAACACAATAAAAGCATTCTCATATATAATCGAGTTGAACCATGAATTTAAGAGTTAAACTATGTATATTTTAAGTTTAACTCATTTAATTAACAAATTTAATTTTTTTTTCTCATATTCAGCTCATTTGATTTATGAATTTAGTTAAAAGATTTAATTGTCGAATCAGATTTCAAACTATTTTTGAATTAATTTGATTTATTATCAGTCCTAAATGTTTATGACATCCCCATTAGCCAACTCTCAATCCCTTGTACTAAGTTGATAGACATGCAATTATAATACTTAGGATGAATATTTAGTAGGATTAGAAGCTTGAAAACATAATTTGCATTAAAGAATCATTTGGCCAAAATGTTCTACGCCTCTCACTTTGGTTAGCTTCCACACCAAGCTTAAGACTCTTCGAAAATCTGTAGAAAAATGGGACATTACCTCATTGTGAGAAGGTTTCTTTGAGTTCCCCTTTCATGTTTGGAAGGTATTTGCAGGGTTAAGTCTATGAATTCATAGAATCTGAGCCAAGGTACTTAAGTTGTTACCTTTGTCTCAAGAATTTATACCATCTAATGTTCACCTTACTTTTGCTTAGGTCTAGGTTATAATTGAAGGTGAGAAAAACACTTAGAAGGGGGGTTGAATAAGGGTTTAGAAATAAATATGACAATAAAAACAACACAGTATTTTTATCCTTGTTCATTGAACTCAACTAATCCAGTCCACCCTATCAAGGTGATTTGCCTTTCTCCACAAGGACTTAATTCACTATATTCAAACAGATTACAGTGTCAACCACTAAGAACAACTGTCTTAGTCTTCTCAAGAAATCCTGACCACAACTTGGTCTTCTTAAGGAACCTTTTACAAACTAATGTAAACTAAAACAAGTGTTTAAGATTCTTCTAAAAAGCTATATCACAAACTGTGATTTTTACACTTAGTTTAAGAACGAATAAAAACTATTCAGCTTATGAAATAAATTTGTATGAGAGCTTGAGAGTAGTTTTGATTTGATTTCTCAGTAATTCGTCAATAATTCGTTAACTTTGAAATGTTTGTTGAAGACATCCTTTTATAGACTAGAAAGTTCAATGCTTGAAGACTGTGTCTTGCTGTGTAGCTGTAGCCTTTTGTCTTCTATTGACTCTAGCTTTCCCAGAAGAGGAATGTTTAGACAAATCCCTTTTGTCTGATTTCCTATGCCATACATGAATAAGGAAAGAGTCGTTTGGAATATGCCAACGGATATATCTTTGAATAATATTTTCTTCAACAAGCTTCTGTCTCAAAGTTATCAACATCAGAGTCTTGTTATCAGAGTTTTGCAGCCAGTGCTTTCAGCGTGAATATCAATCAGAGCAGAGTTTGAATAACAAGGCCTCTGTACTTGCAGCGTAAAGTACTTCAGAGTCTTCTTGACACAATGCTTGAAACTCTTCATATAAAATATTCAACTATGCTTCAGAGTCTTCTGCAGCTTTTGCTTCAGAGTCTCTTCTGGCAGCGCTCAGAGTCTTCTGATGACTGGCTTCTGATGCTTCAGAGCTTTGCGTAGAATACTATTCAGATGCATTTTTGTTTCCATAAGATTATTTATTTTAATATCTGAAACAAAAATACTTGAACAAAATTAGAGTATATATTTTCTTAATACAAAATTTCATTAGAGTTATCATCAAAACATAGAGATATAAATAAACACCAATCTGTGTTCTAACAATAATAAAGGGTTTATTCAAAAATTATTTGAGGCCAAAAATCATTTTTTTTGTATTGGTAGCACCTTAGGCATTCCTTATACACTAGCTCAATTGCATACATGGTCTCTCAATTTGGTAGTCGTGTGTGTTCTCAATCCTTTACTTGGCCCCATCATTTTTGGATCATTGCTAACAGAATTATTCTCATATGGGTCCCTTGTAGCTGACTTGGCAGAGATCATGCTTTCTCTATTTTTCTTCATTGCAATAAAATTCCCATTTATGACTACCTTGTCCTCAAGGTTGAGGTTAGGGAAGCTGTCTAACATCTCATCAAAATCTTCCCATGTGGCTTCACCTGGTGTCATATTTTCTCATTGTACCAGCACCTGTGGTATAACTTTTGAACCTTTCTTGACTGACCTAGCTTGGAGAATGGCAATTGGTGCAATGACCGAGCATGTATCTGTTGTGGTGAGAGGAAAAGGTGTGTACTACTATTATGGTATTCCTTTGAAAAGCTTCATCTGAAGTATGTGAAAATCTGAATGCATTTTAGCTGCATCGGGAAGTTGTAACTTGTAAGCCACGCTACCTATTTTGGCTATAACAACTAACACCTAGTTAGGTATACTAGGAATGCTCTGATTCCATCCTAGTTAGGATATGTAGGTACGAGATGCGATGTCTTGGAGAGCATACTTTGTATATACCCTAGGTCTTTACCTTAGCACCATTTCATTAGCAAGAAAACTTTAACATAACACGAATACTAGCAAGAGGTTCCTGTAGAGTACTACAGATAGTTAGGATGCTAACACCTTCCATAGGTATAACCAACCCCAGAACCTTAGATTCTCTTATCTTTGTTGTTACATAAGACATTTAGGGGTTTTGTCATACCCCAAATTTTACCCTCGGATCCTTGATCATTTCATATCATTCTAAGTCGTCCATTTTCGTCATCCCATTTTAAAATCTTTTTTCTTTTTTCTTTTTTTATATATAATTATTTTAGGTATTACTTAGAATTGATTTATTTATTTATTTACTTTTATTTAGTTTGTTTTTAATATATAGTTTTTAGTAGTTATTTTAGTTTAGTTTATATTTTAGCATAGTTGTTATTATTTTCTAATTAGTTTATATTTTAATTTGTATTCTTGTCATATTTTCTCTTAATTAATTTAGCTTAAATTTAGTTGATTTATTTTTAATGTAGAATCATCTTTTTATTTTTTATATAATTTTTATTATTAGTTATTTATTTTATTATTATTTTTTAATAGTCATTTATATTATTTATTATTTTTGTTCATTACTAGTTATAAGTTATTTTTGTTATTTATTATTTATTTACTATTACTTTTTATTTATCATTTATTTCTTGTTATTATTCACTTCTTATTATTATCTTTTTTTTTCATTTTATCCTTTTTATTTTGTTATTATTATTTTTTTTATTTTATTATTATTATTATTATTTTTATTTTATTATTAATAGT